AGAGTGAGTGAGCGAGAACTCCATAGCCTGGGAGGTAGATCTGGATTCAAATCCCTCCAATGAATCAGGCAGAGAAGATTTGAATCCACATCTCCTACGTTCCAGGTGAGTGCCTTAATCACCAGGCTATAGAGTTGTTCTCACTCACTCTCTCTTTGGCTCAATGAATATTTATTTACACACAGTGGAACAGCTTCAACAAGACAGACTGAGAGTGACACACCCCAAAATAAACGAGGAGTCCTTGTGGTACCTTAGAGACTAACAAATTTATTTGCGCATAAGCTAAAACCCACTTCATCGGATGCATGCAGTGGAAAATACAGTAGGAATATATATATACATAGAGAACATGAAAATATGGGTGTTGCCATACTAACTATAATGAGAGTAATCAATTAAGGTGGGCTATTATCAGCAGGAGAAAAACAACTTTTGTAGTGATAATCAGGATGGCCAATTTCCCAAAATAGTCTATAGTCTGGTGGTTAGGACGCTCACCTATGAGGGGGCAATATCTAGTGGGGATTCAAACCTAGGACTACCACATCCCAGGCAAGTGCCCTAACAGTGGGCCTACAGTTATAAAGGGACATGGATGGATGGATGGACACACACTCCCTTTCCTACTTTGTTATGTGGAAAAAGAGTTTTGTCATTTTCAGAATCTTCTGAATATTTCTTGATTTTTCGGTTTGCTGGCCAAGCCAAAAAAATCAGTTATATGCCCAGCTCTAAAGGTGACTCAATATAGCAGATGATGCCAATCTACAATGCGCCAAAGACACCGCATAATTCACCACCTGAAACTCAGGGATGGACTAAACATATGGAAGGCTTCCTTAATGCTAATCTACAAACTCAACGAAACTAGCCTTGTTAACCCTTAATGTCCTTGGGGCAATGGAATTTTCCACCAATCTTAAAGCTGTCAGGAGCCATGGTTCCACAAACTGTGAGGCATCACCTGTGGGTCTTGGCTGGCTAACAGCACTAGGTTCTGTAATCTGTCAGCCTGAAACTGAGACAGAGCATGGACAATCCCATTATCAACTACACAGAAAATACGTTAAACAAATGGCAGTGCAATACATATGCCCATACCAGCCACATTACTTCGTTGACTCTGAATTAATGTGAATCTCTGCCTGTTTGTCACACCAAAAACAAAACCATTTACTTCTAAATTCCTCAGTTCAAATAGTGACAGCCACCAATATCAGAAAAAACGTAATAGAAGTAATCTCTTATTATACTATGCTCTGCCCACTCCGCAGGCCACCTCTATGCACATCAATTCCCTTGGTAATGAACTCCAAAAACAATTTTCCCAGAGGTGTCAGACAGTCCCCGTAACTCCGATCCTAGCATCCAATTGGATCATTTAACTGATAACCCATTAAACTGCTATAAGAATGCTTCCCCTAATCCAAATCTGCCCTTCCTTCTTTTGGTCATCCTGACAAAGCGATGAGGCTTCTTGGATCCAGAAGTGACAGCCACCACGTGGGCACAAAAGACCCTAGCCAAGGCCACTGCCTTACATGCAAAATTTAAATGCCCCAATAGTTACTTATACTTGTTTTAGAGAGGCTTTCGTAGAATTTTTGATTGTCCTTATCAACACCTTTACATTACCTAAGCTGTCTCTGGGTATCCATGATACACCCTGTCTTGAATCCGATTCAGTTCTCAAGTATGTTAACTGTGCTGGGCCTTCTGCCTTTTCTGAAGCCAGTGTGACCCCAAGCACTCTGTCATCTCCAGAAATGCTCTCAGCAGGCAGCTGTGCTCTACTGATCATGTTTCCTGCCAAGAGGAAGTAATTGAAATAGTGAACTGCCTCACGTGCAAGCTCGTTTCCCGCACATCTGACCACTCCAACGTTATGCTAAACCTTTCAAAGGCTGAACATGGTGTGGAGTATTGGCATGGCCGTGTCAAAACAGTAATATTCCTCAAACTGAAGACTGAACAAGTTACTATTTTTGCAATGAACAGGGAGTAATGTTGCATTTTGCAACCTGTGTCCTTATGCTGCATTCTTTAACCATGGCTACTGCTGCCTCAGATGAGGACTATCAAAGTGAACATAACTGAGGGTCAATACTGTCTTTAAGGGAAGCTTTGAAGGTAAGATAAATGGTTGATAATCCTGTATTATCCATTAGTTTTTTTAGGCACCACACTCAGGAGGAGAGCTGTAGATCTCCACAGGTAATTTCAAAAAAGGAACAATTATTCTTTCTACCTGATGTTTTCCCAAACTATTTGTTCTAGTTCTTTAATAGATTATAAATGTTCAGGCCACACATGCAGCCTTGCCCCCTCATATGTAGGCTTAGCAGAATTTTTTATAATTTTGATGGATGATATTGATATTTATTTTTAAGAAGTTTTTTCCAATTCTTATCTATTTCAATTTTCACAGTTGTGGGAAATTAGGGGGGGGGGAGGCTGTTAAACAATAATTGTTTAATTACAGTAAATGTTGAGATTCAAAAAGTTGAAGCTTTAAAACACAAACTGTCAACATCATATATCAAAATATACAAAGTAAATATTCTTAAATCAAACTCTAATATGTTCCAAAGCAGTATTTTTCTCACTTTGTCTATCTGTAAATGTCAATTTTTGATAGAAATACTTTTTAATCGGTTTGTGTGTGTACTGTGTAATAGACGTTTATTAACATTTATCGATACAAATCTAATCCTTCCAAGCCTACTCACATGGGATCTGAAACCCTACCAGATGTCCCTTGCATATATATGCCCCTTGCATATATATGCCCCATCTGTCTTGTTAGGATAATCCCATAGTAGGGTCCTTAGCACCTCTAATTTAACTGGAGATTGGTCTGAAAGGGATCGAGGGTAGTGACAGCAACCACCTAATCAGCTTGCCGAACTTGTCTTACCCATCCAATACACCAGTTGCTGGGGAGTTGGTAAATGGCCTTCCTTAGGGTAGCTCCCCTGAAGGCTTCTAGGAGTCTCCTTTAGGAGCTACAGAGCCCTCCCTCCTGTCTGCTCTCTCCCAGAACTGCCTACCAACAGCTGAGAACTTCCTCTTTTTAAGACCTTATTCCATCCTTAACATGATTGGCAGGGCTGAAGGGGAGGGCCAGCCTTGCCCACAGCCTCTCTTTAACCTCTTTGTCACTGGTGTGGGGATTATGTACCTTTTATTCTAGTCTTAACAGAACCTAAAAGGTGACAGTTAAACTCAGCATATTGGTTTCTGAGGACTCAGTCATTCTCCCTATAGCTCACTGTTTTGTTCAGCTATGTATTATTTCAGCCCTATAACACTATTTCATTTATAAATATTCACTAAGGAAAGCAGAACAGATTTTTTTAATATTTCTAAATTTAAGGACAAGAGTGGAGCTAATTTCAACAGTGCAATGCATATTGTCCTCTATCTGAAAAATATGTGGTTTTTCATGCATGAACAGCCACAATTTTAGTTTATTTGAGAAACATGATGATGGATGTCATATATTAAAGATTAGATTAGAATCTGACCTCATCGAACCTCCCTAACCATCGTTTATGTGCTGTGAATTTTATATTTTTTAAAGTAAGAAATAAGAGAGAGACATTAAAGTTCTCTCTCATTAAATGAGAAAGGGGCGCGATGGGCAATTTTAAATTGCACAGAGATTAGTGACTTTTTACTTTTTCTTTGTGAGGGGAAGTGATTATCTTAAAGACAATGAGAAAGAGTAAAAAAAAGTTTCCTCTACTGAGGCACAGTATGTGTTAAAAATCTACTTATTTCATATTTAACTTGATATCGATAACCTATATCCCCCTGATTTCACCCTCATGCAATTACCAGTACAAGGATGGGCAGGAGTGAGACGCCAGATTAGAAACAAACTCACATGGCAGACCTACAGAATTTTACTGTATTTCTCTTTTAATAGGAAAGTAGTGCTTGTAAAAGGTGCCAGCCTGATGAATGGAGACTGAAGACTCTTCATCTATCCAGAGAATAGATATACCAGAATATCACACAATCATTTCACAAATCAATAGTGATCTGTGATCAATAGTGATACAGGCCTTATCCCAGACTAGCGAATGTGTTGCATTCTATTAGTAGTCTTATAAGGTACTTTGTTCCAACTTCTCTCTTAAAACAAAATTAACAAGTATAACGATGTTTAGGTTTTGCCACTAGTCTCCAGAATGTCGGTCACTGTATAAAAATAGAGCCCTATTGTGATAGGCATTGTACAAACGAGGTAGTAGACAGTCCCTGCTTTGAAGAGCTTAGAATCCAAACAGAGGAGACAGGAACAGGGTAGAGAAAGATGTACTAGGCAGAAAAGTACTGTACTGTCAACAAGTACGACAATATCTTATGCACAAAACTACTTTTCTGGAAAGGTAAGTCTGTTTTATTCCCACTTTCTCAATACACCCATGCTTTCATTTGGCAATAAAATGCTATGGTGAATTCACAGAAAAATCCCATTTCCTATTGCATACAAATTCCTCCACTTCCTACTAACAATATTCTAGGTATTGACAATGTGCGGGTTCTTGTTACACAGATCTTTTGACAGAATTAACCTTCCCCTTTGATCCTCTCATGGCTCAACTACCAAAAGATCAACAGACAGCTTTAGAAGATCTATGTTATTAGTTAGATCTCATGTGGCCTGTCACTGACTCTTCCTCTTCTTGGCATGCAAGCATCTGGACTGAGTCTTTTGCTACTGAGCCTATGGTTCAGACTATTAAACAAAAATATGTGCACAAAGAGAAAAAGACAGCAAGGACAACCCATATACCTGTGTACCTCCGTTTTGGAGCAAGTACATAGATTAATTCAATTTTCAGGATTTATTTCTTATGTTAACAAAAAGGTTTCCCTTCTTAAAATAACAGAGACTTTTCCCTCCTCTCTCCCCAGTCTTCAGGGTATTTTTGTTTGTTTGTTGTTTTTGTTTGGTTGGTTTTTCAAGTGCATAGCACTAAACTTACCATGTCACTTTGAGGCTGTGAGATGACAATAGGCTGGCCGGTATCACATGTCTCTCTTATATTAACATGCAATGGAATGTCTCCTGCATTAAAAACACCAAAATGCATTTACATAAAGACTTAATATTTCATAAGTGCATTTCATTAAACTAGCCCTGAAGCAACTTGAAATCAAATTCCAGTTCAGGCTATCCTTTGAATTACTTAATCTCTAAAATTAGCATTTAAAATTAAAATTAGCTGCAGCAGAGTTCCACATGTCCACAATCATTAGTACCAAATATATTTCAAATTTATTCATTTTCTGGAAAAAGAGCAGATTGCTTTGCAGTAATTTGTAATGACAGGAAGTTTGCTTTATTTCTTTCTGGAGAAGCAGAAAAGCTCAAACTGAGACATTTCTATGGTCTAGACATTTTGGATAGGTACAAAATAAAAACACTTCTTTGAGTGTCAGGATAACATATTATTCAACGTATTTCTTACTTTTGTATTTTCAACAGTGTTTTGAGATATTAATCAATATCTCAACTATAGCACATTTTGTTGCCAAACAACAAAATGTACTATAGTCCTTAGTAGGCCATTGATTTAATTAAGTGCTAGCTGTATATTCAACTCATTCTCTTTTACAAAGGCTAACTACTGTGTGATTTGCTTGTGTAATCAGCAGGGAACTGTTATAGAAGAAAAATGTACTGAAGGAAAAATCATTTATCGACCCATTGGATATTTTCACTTAATTCTGAAATATTTTTCCAGCACTAAATATAGTAAATTTTTAAAGTTCCCATAATTACTATATCACAACACAGATACTGCCTATGACATAAAAAAGACGGTTACTCACCGTTGTAACTGTTGTTCTTCGAGATGTGTTGCTCATATCCATTCCATTAGGTGTGCGCGCGCCGCGTGCACGAT